TTATCTGTAGACAGTGCTGCTTGCCCTGAAAGTTATCAAACCCTCCAGAAGACCGATAGTTGAAGGGTGTACCATCACTCCACAACCACACACCCTCCTAGAAGACACAACAAAATATTAAATGAATTAATAACACTAATGACCAGAAGAGCTTGTGTAAAGATAAATATACCTCTTGTGCATCCGAGCCTCCAATCCATGTTTCTTTGTTCTCATAACTTGCGCTCATGATCAGCCTCTGAATCTCATGGTACTCCAGCAGGTTGTGAACGGACGCAAGGTTTCCACCCATGGACTCACAGTTTTTCTACAGTGAAGATAAATACGAGAGAGAGAGAGAAATTGCAAATTAACCAAATGTCTATGTATGTGCAAACAAAATAAACATATTGTAGAAGCCTTCTGAACTAAAACAAAGTCTCCCTCTTTACCTCAGCTTGGGCCCAAGTCATGGGTTTTGGAACGTAGTGGAAACAGCGACCGCTGAACTCAGACCAGCGACCAGAACAAGCTGTCGACCTCTTGACCAGGTGACTCTTTGCTGAGAACAAGTAGAGTTTGGTGAGTAATGTGGAGTCTCTAAAGTCTCTATATGTAGATATGAAATCAACTTATTTTAATGACATGACACTGTAACATAACAACATAAAATAGTCACGAAATAACAATTATGACATAAATGACATATCAGCACAATATAACATAACATAAAACAGTATAACATGACTTTTTAAAACATAATACAAGACGACGTAATATAAGTTACAATAAACATTTTATCCGCCAATGCTTTTAATTTATACAACATGTAAGTCATCAGCAGAGCATCAGAACAACACACACTGACCTTGTTGGGCATTTTCGGGGTTTGCCTCTGGAAGAGCTAGAAAGTTTGACACAGCAGTTATTGACCTTGATCGTTATTGTACAACACATTCATCTGTAACACTTTCTGTTTATAAAACTGACCAGCAGCTCGAGTCAGAGCCATCATGGCACAAACAAGTGCAGAAACAGTCAGCATCTTCATGATGGAGATGATGAGATGATGATAACCTTTGCTACAGAGAGAAAAACTCTGTACTTCTGTAGAACAGAAGACCTATGTCCACTGTCAGTCCAGTAAAGGAAAGTCAGAAGTTTGTAGCTGCAGAATTACCTTCTCTTCTTCCTTCTCTGCGTCTGTAGCTTCAGCTGTCTGATGTGGAAACACGGATGAAGAGACACACCAGCCCTTATAAACAGATACTTATCTTGTCATCTCTCACAAATTAGGGAACTGAGCACAGACACGAAAACATACACAGAAACATTATCAAACACAATATTGTCAGAAAGATAAATTAAAACTATATTACGATCAGTTAAGTAATAGCCATAGGTCAATAGTGCCTAAACTGCACTCTGACACTGTAATGAGCATTTACTCTTTTTTGTGTCTACTTACATGCAGATTATGTAATGATAAATGTAAATGGTCTGTACTTGTATAGCCTATATAACCTTTCTAGTCTACCGACCACTCACAGCACTTTTATGTCACATTGACTCAGATAGCTGAAATTATTATTCACCAGGTGTAGGCAGTTATTCAGGTTCAGTTAACACATACAGTATAGATAAGTAGGTGCCACCTACTGTTTTTTATGTATAAATAATTTGCATCATCATTCATTTATAACTATAAACATCACATGATCCATGCAAGAACAGAAAGCTTGACCGGCATAGCAACCTTAACTAAGGTGGACTTAGCGATAATACTTTTATTATAAACAAGACTAAACAAACTCAACTTATACTTAAAATAGATAAACCTTTTCATTTTTGTCATTATTAACATATTTCGGCAACAAATTTATATTACACTCTTCATTTTGCACCAGTTTAACCCCTTGTGAGAAGCCACAAAGCAGTTCCGCTCTTGGGTAACACAGAATTACACAACACATATCGAGCACCTGTTCCTCACAATGCCTTTGCATCCTGGCATTTTGCAGGAGCTAACTCAACTAACTGCCCAGCTCACTGTCCTGCTCTCAAAGAAAAAGTTGGCTTGCATGTTCTATAAATAAAATCAACATATATAAGCAGAGTTTACAGGGTACAACAATTAAAGTGCAGTAGGTTGAAGGTACGCAGTTCTCCTCCATATTCGCATATAGTTGCCATATGGCAACAAATTAATTTTAGCATTTTACCAAAAAACAAATCCTAACTGGTTTAAATTAGGAAATTCTTCTTAAATATTGAAAAATGTGTCTATTTTAGCTGACCTCAGATCATGAACTGTGCAGTGTCATAGATCGGTAGGAAAAGGGTGAAAAGACCCATTTTCACCAATAAAAAGCAAGGATTTTGAAGCATTTCCTATTATTGCAATAGAGATAAAGTAATTGTTGCCATATGGCAATAGAGGGTTAAGACAAAGGAAAAGGGAGCGCGCTATATTAACGTAATTTCTAAGAAACAGTGTTGAAGTTTCAAATAATAGGGAAACAAATGGGAGAAGTGTCATATATGTATAGGCTATAAACTGTGAAATTCATTAAGAAATGATGGTAAATGAGGAAACCTACATAAGACATTTAAAAAAGGCCTAGTTCCAGCTGTGTAGAGCTTTGAGTCATTGCAAGTGCCCTATTAAGAGTGAAACACTAAAATTAAGTTGCAGGTTCACATTAATAACAGCAGGAGTGTCAAATTGGGTTTAGAGGCTCCTCATACTTTTCTATTGCTCATTATAAAATGCAAGGAAAAGAAGGCCTTCAATGATGATTCTGCAGTTTGCAAACCTTCTTCTTCAGTTGCTGCCACTTGTGGAAAATGTACCAGAGGCAATGACTGAATGAAGGTTATTTGTTAACTGCTACCAATTACTGTATGTAGCATATACAATATATACAATATACAAAGACCAAAACTTAAACCTGTGCTCAATGTCTGTATCTGGACAAAATTTAAAAGAGAAGTTGAGTAATTATTTCAGCAGTTAGTGATCATCACTTGTAGTCAGTTTACTTAATGTCAAATCATTATTACCAAACAACCAAAGAGCTGATCAGGCAGCAATGTCACTATTTGTTTAAACTGAACAGACAAATATTGCATTTGGATGATACAATCTTTATCACCTAACTCTTTCAGATTTGTTTTGGTCTCATCTAGTCAGCAGTATCATTTACCCAATAACCGTAATATATCATAAACATTATTTTCCACAAGTGGCAGCAGGTTTGTTTATATATTTATATCCATACATTCATATATACATATAATGCATTTATAAAACTAAAGTAAAAAATACACATTAACGTCCACATACACACTATGAAACACAACAATACAGAAGACAAACACAGACACAAAACAACACAAGGATTCAAGACCTGTCTAGAACAATAGAAAGCTCCGTGGGCAGAGAAGTGCCCTGCAACACATGCATTCAAAACAGAAGTTGGGGAATTATTGCATCAGAGTAAGTGTGCTATCTCTGCCACAGAAATATCACTGTCACTGAAGAAGATGTTGCATAATGCAGAATCATCCTTGAAAGTCTTCTTTGCGTGTATTACTGAACAAAAGAAAAGTGGGGGGGGGCTCTAAACCCAGTCAGTGTACCAGTTTTCTTTTCATTTATTTCACTTCATTTGACAGGGACGGTGCTCATTAATCAACAGCAACGTAACTGTAAATGAGCCAGAGTTAGCTCAACAGGTTAATTTTCATATGTCCATCAGTTATTAAAATGACAACCTAAAATAAAGAATTTAAATGAAATTTCAAGTAAAATAAAATGACTGATTACAGTCAGCACTTAAAAGCAATATATACCGAATAAAGGGAATGATACAGTTTTGTGGTACCTGTTGTGACCTGAGCTCTCTGCACAACAAATGTCTTCAGTGGAAGCGGAGCAGTGTTGTGTAATATCTTATAAACTAGACAAAATGTACTACTGTGTTTTAAATCTGATCGTAGCCTGTGTGTCTGTATCTCATATTTTATTAAATTTTAGTGAGCTAAGCAGTGGACAGAAAGAACATGATGAGGAGCCTGTAGTTGATGAGTCCACTGTGCAGTTTCAGCCTTCACTGCAAACGCACACATACAGCAGAATTTAGCTTTAATATAAGTAGCCTATTTTTTGCCAACAGGTCCCTTTGTATGTATTCCATTATAGATCATTAGTTTGTGTGACTGTAGTAACTTTGGTTGTGTTTAGGTGTCATTTTGGTATGAATTACCCTAAATAATCTCTGTGACCTTACTAATTCCTGAACCATGGTTACGGTCCTGAAAGCTGGAATTAGAGACAGCCCTGCGATGGACTGGCGACCTGTCCAGGGTGTACTCCACCTTTCACCCGATGTAAGCTGGGATTGGCTCCAGCCCCCTGCGACCCTGTACGCATTATAAGCGGTTGACGATGGATGGATGGTATATCACAACATAATTTACAGTCAAATCATAAGACTAAAAATTTTTTTCCCTCCATACTTTTGCAGTGTTTGCAGTGTTTGTGTCTGTTGCCATAACTACACATTTGCAATGATACTGGAGTGAACTGTAAATGTTTCCTGCATACAGACCAGCACATCACTACAGTTTCCTGTCAGACCAACCCAGAAAAAAAAATATTATTGATATTGTTTATCTGTGAGCTCACAGCAAGAGCACACAGTTTTTTGATCATGGAAGAGATCCTTAAAAATGATATCTATTTATCTGTTTGAACAGAAGAACATTTGTGTGACAGTCCTTCATATTTATTTACATTTGAAAAAACGCCCCCTTGTTCTGTTGGTTGAACTTCATGACAAAGCTTTGCTGCATTGATGCTATCCCATCTTCTGTCAGTGAAACACATAACATTAACTTTTAAAGTCTCCAACAAGAGAACTAAAGTTCCGTCTTTAGATTGTTTACTGGCTGCTGAACAGTGAAGTTAAACCCTTAAAACATCACATCTTAAACAGACTCACAGACCAGCTTGTTTCAATGCTTGAGACTTTTAATTTGCATGAAACAAGAAAGCACAGTTCACTCTGCAGAATAAGTTTGTGCTTATTAAAGGCACAAGACCTCAGAGACGATTTAGATCTTGAAAATGAAAATAAAGACATGAAATGTGATATAGAGCCTTCAGGGTACATATTAGACTGATGGCATAAAGAGAGAGAAAACATCCACCCATGTTTGTGATTTTTTCAGGTGCTTCATGCCTCTGTGTCAGCCCAGGAATCAGTTGGTTTTCTTTATACAGACGGATGGAAGGCGAGTGTGACACTGTACATCATCCCAGCATTTGTTATCTGTGTGGATCAGAAAGATGTGAGCATGGTTATTTAGCAGAACGTATCATTTGATGCTGATGAAGACTAAAACAAGGCAGAGGTTTGTGCTTAAAAGATGATGGATACATTTATGAACTGATCTCACTTTTGTCATTAATATAGCCTTTTTTATTTACACAACAAGTACATTACTGTCCCATGCAAAAATAAAGTATTTTCTGATTTACCTCCATGATTTATTTGTAAACAGTGCTGGCCCCTAAGGTTATTTGGCTCTCCTTTGCACCAGTATGAAAAGGTGAAAGGCGTACCATCACTCCAGAACCAAAAACGCTCCTAAAAAACACAAATCAGAATTGAATAGATTTATAAATAACAATATAAACTGAATCAAACATTGTAAACATACCCTAAAGACCATAAAGCTTTGACAAAACGTTGTCATTACAAATTCTACCTTAACTTCTCGGAAGAAGAACAACAGCATCTGTCATTTCAGCAGGTCTGTTTACGTTAAAGTAACAAAACCCTTTAATGGCTCTGAAAATTATAAAAAACGTCATGTGACGTTGTTACGGAGCGACAAAGTCCGCATAGGGAGGAGATCACATATCACGGCCTTACTGAGCAAATGGATGTCAAACTATTATTTCTATTACAGAGCAAACGCTCTGTCCCCTTTAGTTTTCAGTCCAGACTCTGGAACAGACAACAGACCTCTGCCTGAGGATCTCAAGGTACGTGCTGGTGCGTATGGGACTAAAAGGTCAGAAATATAACAAGGCAAGAGGCCATGATGAGCTTTAAAAGTGATCAATAAGATTTTAAAGTCAATTCTAAAACATACTGGGAGCCTCTAAACCAGAGGTCACTAATAGGCGGACCGCAGTCCGGATCCGGACCCAGCCGCCGTCCTCTCCGGACCGCCGACCTACAGCACATTTATTATTGAGACTTACTACCTCGTGACGGAGCGTTTCTATTTTAACCCGCGTAGCTTTTCTAGCATTTACTGTACTGGTTTGGAGGACCAGGAAACTCACAGACCAATCGCATGTGCTGCAATCGTCTCATGTGACGCTGCTCAGCCAATCAAATCTGTGCATACCGATGCTTGCGAGTCGAGTCCGCGAGATTCACCAGAGACGTTTTGGAAACACACCCGAATTGAGGAGACGAAAGATAAAAGAGATTTCACATGACTTTTAATCAAGAATGTACAGATTTTTACATGTACATTCCTCCCACGGGCAGTTCAAAACCAGAATATCTCATAGATCTCCAATATGCTAGCTGGAGCTCACGTTTCTCACTGAACAACAGAAAGTAGGAAAGTGGTAGCTCTGTAAGAGGAAATGAAAGAGAAGAGGAGGCATTACAGCTGTTCATTTGTTATGATGTGTTGAGTGTTTATTATAAAATTGGTTAAAACTACACTTCATCACTTCAAGCTACACTTTTTATTACATTTTTTCTAAAAAATTAGGCACTTTAATTTAGTTTACTTAAATTTAGAATTTATTATTTGAATAGTTATTATTTATTATCCTTCCAGTTTGGTGAATCAAATATTATTTGATTTGACAGTCCGTTGTTGACTAAAAACATGTGTTGATACAACTATAGGTTATAGTACTGAATGATAACGTTCGTCGTTTTGATGTTCCGGACCTTTGCTTCAGGAAATTTTCTCTAACTAGACCTCTTTGAAATCTAATTGAATACCCCTGCTCTAAGGCTATCGCTATTGGGTTTACCCCTTCCGCGCGCCTGCCCGACACTGAGAATTAGTCTATGCCCACCCACAGCGTGGGCCTCTCCTACGTCCGCACCTTGAATATATACAACGGTGAGACCCAGACTTCAGATCCCAAATGCCTTTTCTTCAGCACTGAGAACCAAGGTCCAGTGAGGCCTACAACTTCGGCTGCGCCTATATTTATAGAATCCGGGTTACAATACGTAACCCCCATCTATATCATATAGGCTTCGCCCTCTAAGTTCATCGCTATTGGGTTAGAGGCGAAGCAGGCCGAGGGCCGACCCATGCGCAAGTCGGGAAACTTGGTTGGGGGGCCCCGCAGCTGTACAGAGGTGGGGTCATGACAACAACCACATTAGCTGCCACCCCCCCACACCATCCCGTGGGAGAGGGCGCACCACACACTCAGCCAAAACACTGAGTGAGTCAGAAAGAGGTGGGTAGAAACGTACGAAAGAGCATGGGGATAACCAGGAGGCCGCCGTGCAGATGTCGATGGGAGGAGACACCTCTCGTGGAGTGCGCTCTGATGCAATCCGGAGGATGACATGTGACCAAAAGGAGCTCGTAATGCTTTTAGGCATGAACGTCAGGTTAGGGCACAGAATAGCCAAGCTGACGTCGCCCTGAATCCTGAGGCACGACGGAGCTACAGAGAGGGCAGCCAGATCACTGACCCTTTTGGCTGATGTCAGAGCCAGGAGTCTCCAAAGGCTCAAACGTGACTTGGGTTAACGCGTAACCGGCCTGCGCCTTCGCACGCCTCTAAGGAAGCGTTTCACCAGGCGGTGGGAGAGCGCAGTCCTGTCCCCGAAGTCATCGTGTCAGGGCGAAAGAGTGGCAGTGTTGTTTTTAACCGTACTAAACGCCAGCCCCCTGTCCATGAGCAGCTGGAGGAACGAAAACACTGCCGGCAGCGGACAGGTGACCGGATCCGTCCCCTGGTCTAGACCCAGCGCTGGAAAGCCAACCACTTAGAGGAGTAAGAGGACTGAGTGGAGGCGGCTCTCGACTCTTGGATGGTGCGAATCACCTCACGGGAGAGATCTAAGCCCTCCAGGCATCGCCTCTTAGTGGCCAGACCCAGAGAGGTTGGTCGAGGAGTGGGTAACTCCTGATCGTACCCCCTGCCTGAGAGAGAGCGTCCCCCCTCCAGCGGAGTTTCCACGGCTGCCCCACCAGCAGCCGTTGGAGACAGACAGATGTGGGATGTGACCATGCCCAGGGGGGACCCCGACCGAGAGAGAGAGAGGGTCCCGCCAGTAGGCCAGAACCTGGGGCACAGACAGGATCGCCGCTGTCTCTGTCTGACCGGGGACGACACAAGCGGATGAACCACTGCTGCAGCCAGGGGAACCACCATGTGAGCCGCCGACATGAGGCCCAGGAGCTCATGAGCGACAGAGCTGCCACCGCCGCTCATGGGACAACATGGTGGTGTCGTGTAAAAATTCAAGACTTGGGCCCGATAAAAAAGCTTAAACTTTCACCAACATTTTTATTATCAACAAAAACAGACACCAATTAGAATACAAAAGTTCCACCAGAGTGTGTCAGAGATCGGTGCAAAATAGAGCCCCATTCTGTTACCAGAACAGAGACCCGAGTCGACTTGAAAACTATGTAACGACTGACTTTCACCTCCTTTTATAGCTCTGTTTCTTGGCTTCATATCATCTCTTGGCTCTCTTCCCTACTACTGCTACAATCTGGGAAAGTCCCTGACTGCCTGCACCTCCTCTCTGTGTCCTTTGCATGTACTCCGCTTGATCATGCCATTTCTTCCATAACCTGACTTTTATGGAATAAACTGGTGTTATTTGTGCTCTGTGCTAGAAACAGGACATTCTTACTGTGATGGACTATATGATGTATGTTTTATAAAACAATTTTCACAAAATCTGCTTCTATATTTTCCTTTGTAAGTGTTTTTGATGCTGCCTCACTGTGCTCCCTCCCTTTTCTCCCAACGCACACGAACTTGCTCACACACACATGTGCTACTGCTGAGCCTGGGCAGTTAGATACAGAAAGGAGCACACACACTCAGAGCTATAGAGTTTTAACACTGTGATCCTAACTTTACACTATAAAATAACACTTTAAATGATGACAATGTAGACCACCATTGCTATAGTAATTAATGATAACAATTTAGGCTATAATGCTCCAAAATAATTCACAACAGTGGAGCAGCTCCATCAGAGCATCCACCCTCTCCTGAGAGAGCCACGCTCTCTGGAGAGAGGAGTCCAGTACCACGCCAAAGTAGGTGAGTCTATGGGAGGGGAAAGGAGCACTCTTCCAGTTCATCGTGAAGCCCAGGTAAGACAGGTGTGCGACTAGCTGGGCCATCTGCGCCACTGCTTCGGGGCGCAGGCCACATCATGAGAGACCTTCAGAGACGGGTCTGTTGTGTGTCCTTCCATGTGTGGCGGAAGGGACCACACGAGTGTAGTCGCCCTCGTGGGTCCCCTGCCGTACTGCATTCCCAGTGGGGGGAGGTAGGCAGAGGCAGACACAGTTGCCGGGGCACGAGGTTGGGCAGCCACATCCGTGAGCCCGTAACCATGCCGCTCCCCCGACGAGGTGGGGAGGGCAGGGACAGGCAACAGAGGAGAAGGTCTGCCTGCGACATTGCAGCCATGCTGCATGAAGGCTGCACGGCCAGGTGCAGCCGCTCCACGCGGTATGATGGCAGCCACTGATTTCGTAGAGACAGTGGCGGGCCGAGGAGGAAATATTCTGCTTGTGGCATCGGAGCCAGACTGCATGAAAGCCATCCGGCCAGCTGCAGCCTGTCTGTTATGCCACTCACCTCGCCGCGCCGCTCGCCCGGCAAGGGAAGAGAGCAGGGTGAGGGGCAAGGGGAGAGATGATGTGCAGCTTTGCAGCAAGCCCAGGCTGCTTGTTAGCCGTTTGGCTAACCCACAGCTGGCTCACACAATGTGTTCTGTAGTTACAAGAAACACAATTCTCCCCAGCGTCACTGTCGCCTGCCGTGCCTAACGTGTTTGGCACACACTTGCCATATATGCCATATATCACACATGAACAGCGCACAGCACAGCCTGTCACACACCTCTGGATGCAGGAGGAGGGACTGCATCGGTGATGCTGCGGTAACGCACGAGCCCGCACCCGGGCTCTGCCGGGGGGGTTGCGTGCGTAACGTGTGGAGCAGCGATACGATAACACTACACACAGGGTTGTGTGTAGTGCTATCCTGTCCGCTTGAAGCGTAATGACCGCTTCAAGGGCTCATTTGACACAGCCTGGCTTTACAACCAGTAGATGGTGAACCAAGGGGGAACCCCTGGACGCACAGAAGTACTGTGCCATTGACGCCGTGATGGAAGACATCGTTCTTCTTGTTTTCCAGCTGGAAAGTCTTTGCTCTTTAGACAGCTCAGAGCTGAAGAAAAATGGGAGCTTCCGCTGCAGCTGACCTGCTGGTCGGCCTGCCCGGTCATGGATCAAAAAGCCCAAGGTTTAATACTGTGTTAAAATTTTAAGGCGTTACGATTATTGTGATTATTTTGACAATTTTAATAATAATGTCAACATTATTTCATCAAGGTGGTTGATCATCTGTAGCGACATATCATATGTCAGTATTGTAGGATTGAGTTTGCTTTCTCACGTGTCTCTGTGTGCCCACTCTGGCACGTGTGCCATAGGTTGCCATCCAGTTTCTTTCTGCTCAAATCAGACACAAATGATTTAAAACCACAAGAGTAAATGCTCCGTATTTGTAAAGAGCCTTTCTAGTCTTTCGACCACTCAAAGCGCTTTCACACACATTCATTCACTGGTGGAACAGCCACCAGAGGCAATTCAGGTTTCAGGATCTTGCCCAAGGACACTTCGACATACAGCCTGGAGCCGGGGATTGCACCGCTGATCGTCCGATTAACGGGCAACCTGCTCTACTTCCTGAACCACAGTGTTGTGGTGGCATCCCTGCCTGTATTTCAACCCCGGTTCTCCACACAATTCTTGCTTTGTCGTTGCTCCATACCCGGTGCCACCTCTGTGTTCAGGCGCTCATGTTTTTTGTTTTCTCTCATTTTCCCTGTACTTTGTTGCTGCCGTCACTAACCCTGTCTCTTTGTCTGTTTTCCCTCCCAGGTTCACTCACTCATCATCCGTTCTGCCGGCTGGGCTCATCCTCTGGTCCTCTCCTCTATGGGCTTCCCCCACGGCATCCTCCCAGTTCCCCCCTGCGTCCTCCTTTCCTCGGCCCCAGTGTTCCCCAGCTCCCTGGTCCCAGTCCCGTCGGTTTCCCTGTGCAAGTGTTTCCCGGCATCCACCTCTCCATCCAGTTCCTCAACCCTCTTTTTACCTAAATAAATGTCCTTCGCTCAGAGCTCTGCGTTTGGGTCCTCTCTTGAAATCATTTATAAGCCATGTAGATGTTGTGGCTATAAGATATCGCTATTATTAGATTGATTCAGATAGCCATGGTCCCTAGAGGATGAATCCTTATTAGTGATCCTCTCAAATTTTGTTCATGAGCCACTAGCAGGTCAATGTTGTGAGTTCTCCAGATAAATATCTCAACATTTCCAAGATGTTCCAATACTGACATTCAGAAAGAAAGAATATTTAAGACTGAAAGTTCATTCATTCGACCCATTAGCAGCTGGTCTGGAGCTTTCACACGGTTTTCCTCAAAATGTTGATGTTCAAATTTCTTTACCGTTAATGACGTTTCATCGGTGTTGTGTTTAAGATCTTAAAATACGCAGGACAATGGAAATTTGAAAAACCTACAATTCCATGACACTTCATCAAACTCTAACTACTGAGGAAGTTCATGTAATATGGTCAACTACTAATGGACCACGTGATGGGATTGTTCTGTGCACACAACACAGCACTATGCCATACATACATAGCATTTTAACAGCAAAGGTTTTTGTTTAATAAGAGAAAACCTTCCAAAAAAGTATAGATATGTGTGTATTATATGCTACTCATACATAATGCTCTAAATGAAATCAGTACGCTGTGATTTACCTCCATAATTTATCTGTAGACAGTGCTGCTTGCCCTGAAAGTTATTAAACCTTCCATAAGACCGATCTTATGTACCATCACTCCACAACCACACACCCTCCTAGAAGACACAACAAAATATTAAATTAATTAATAACACTAATAACCAGAAGACCTCGTGTAAAGATAAATATACCTCTTGTGCATCCGAGCCTCCAATCCACGTTACTGTGTAATCATAACTTGCGCTCATGATCAGCCTCTGAATCTCATGGTACTCCAGCAGGTTGTGAACGGACGCAAGGTTTCCACCCATGGACTCACAGTTTTTCTACAGTGGAGATAAATACGAGAGAGAGAGAGAAATTGCAAATTAACCAAATGTCTATGTATGTGCAAACAAAATAAACATATTGTAGAAGCCTTCTGTACTAAAACAGTGACTAAAAAGTCTCCCTCTTTACCTCAGCTTTGGCCCAAGTCATGGCTTTTGGAACGTAGTGGAAACAGCGACCGCTGAACTCAGACCAGCGACCAGAACAAGCTGTCGAACTCTTGACCAGGTGACTCTTTGCTGAGAACAAGTAGAGTTTGGTGAGTAATGTGGAGTCTCCAGTTAAAGTCTCTATATGTAGATATGAAATCAACTTATTTTCATGACATGACACTGTAACATAACATAAAATATTCATGTCATGATACAACATAAAATTACTTTACACAGTAAAACACAATTGCGATTTAAATTCCATAACGGCATAATATAAGTAAACGTAAAAACGTTAAAATAACGTAATAAAATATAACACAACTGACCTGGCTGGCCATTTTCAGGTGCTGCCTCTGGAAGAGCTAGAAAGTTATACACAGCAGTTATTGATCTGGATTGTTGTCATACAAAACATTCATCTGTAACACTTTGTATTTATAAAGCTGACCAGCAGCTCTAGTCAGAACCATCATGGCACAAACAAGTGCAGACACAGTCAACATCTTCATGGTGGAGATGAAGCCAGAGATGATGAAAACCTGCGACAGAGAGAGAGAGATGTTACTAATATGTAGTGAACAGACGACCCATGCTGACTGTCAGTCCAGGAAAAGGAAGCGCGAAGCTTGTAGCTGCAGAATTACCTTCTTCCTTCTCAGCTTCTGTAGATTCTGCTGTATAGTGCAGAGACAATGATGAAGAGAAACACCAGCCCTTATATGCAGCTACTTATCTTGGCATCTCTTAAAAAACAGAACTGAACAACCATACACAGAGACATCACACATGGTATACTCAGTAATGTGCCTTTATTTTGTCTGCTAACATGTAAATGATGTAATCGATGTAATTCAAAAGCATTTATACTAATAGCTAGAAATCATAAATACTTTGATCCCTGAGGGAAACTGTTGCGTTACAGTTGCTCACTTTACTAAACATAACATTAAGTAAATATAGATAATATAATGAAATAGAAAATAAAGATGAGGGCACCCCAGTCTCTGAGTTGTTTGGCCAACATGAGTCCCATTTGTCCAGACCAAACCTTTAGGAGCAGCCTTAAATCAAAGCTGGGCCAACACATCTATCCCGGCTCTCTTTCCTCTCCTCTGAGTGATCAGTGACCTGCCGTGTCATAGGTATTGTTTTGACAATAAAGCCGGAGAGAACAGATTAAAAACAAACGTTTAGTGAAGTTTGAATGAGCTACCAGCTGCTGCATCTACATGTGCAACCAGCAGTTGAAGAGCTCCTCAGAAAATAGAGACAGCTCCGGCCCTTCCTGTAGAGGGCTTAAGTGTTCTTGGCCCAGTCCAGTTTATTGTCAGTGTGCACTCCCCGGTCATCCACATGGTCCAGTGGCTCCCTGGATGGACATCGTGAGCTAAGGAGGTGCCACTGTTTCCTACAAATTTCATTTATATAATAATTTGCATCAGAAGAATAATTTATCACTGTTAACTGCATATGAGCTGTGCAAGAACAGAAAGCCAGTGTAGCAACTGTAACTAAGGGCGACTTAGTGATCAATTAGCAGCCAATATCATTCCCTACCTCAACATAATCGGGAAAATTACTACTATATAAACATAATTTCTAGGAAACAGCGTTGGAAGATTAAATGCTCCAGAAACAAAGAGAGCCATTTGAGAGACCTGCCATTTGTATATAAAATGTGAAGTCCTGATGAAATGAGGAAACTAAACACAACATGCCCTGCAGTAGAGGACAGTATCTTAAAAAAAGGCAATTTGTCAGTGAAAAACTAACAGAACAACAGTGTACAGTTAGGTTGAACCTGGAATTTGTAGTGTTTTAAAATTAATATCACATTAATAAAACAGAGGCAGTAATGTAAAACACACAGTGGAACTGAGTGACTGGGTTTAGAGGCTCTCCAAACTTTTTCTATTGTTCAGTCTAAAATACAAGCACAAGAAAGCCTTCAAGGATGAATCTGCAATATGAAAAACCTTCTTCTTCACTTGCTGCTACTTCACTAACAAGGACCATGCCAATGTTAGATTTTATAGTGGTTTATTGTGATGAATATTTACGAATAGTTATGAATGGAGATGTTGAGAGTCATGGTGGGGGCTCGTCTCGATAAGCGGCTTGGTCTTATGAACCCCCCTGTGGTTCCTGTTGCAGAAAAAGACAAAGTGATTACTTTGCAGAATTATGGATTTTAGCGTGCATGTCTTTCATGGTGGGAGGAAACCAGAGTGCCCGAGGGAACCCCACGCAACCACGGGGAGAACATGCAAACTCTGCGCAGAAAGGCCTGCTGAGCAATGTCTAAACCCAGAAACAATGCTGTGAGGCAGCAGAGCTGTAAAAACAGGGTTTGGGTGGGAGGGATGTGAGAACTGACAGCTTATATACGTGAGTGCATGTGATTGGATTCGAGAGGCACAGGTGGATGAAATGAGTGACGCACTGGGTGGTTGATTGGAGGAATAGAATAAGGCGCAGGTGGTCGAATAAGTGAGAGAGGCGTGGTCCTGAACCTCAGTCTACATAACTCCATTTAACTAACAAGGACCACACCAATGTTAGATGTTATAGTGGTTAATTGTGATGAATAGTTATGAAAGGAAAATATACTAGAGGCAATGACATATACACTGTGGTGGTTTTGTGGGGGAGCCAACAGGGGACAGTACCCCTGTAACACATACCTTGGAATCCCTGGCCCCCCTCTGCACTTCAACTCTACAACAGGCCTATTAAACTGGCGGCCCGCGGGCCACATCCGGAACAGAAGTAAACTACATGTAGGCCTATAGTGTATGAAAGTAGCTAAAGAGTGAGCTATGTCGTTTCCTTCTAATCTTTGTTGAGTTTCACATGCGCTGTCCGACCTGCAGCCTCTCCCCTCCTCTGTGTGCAGAGCGCCTCCCCTCTACACACTACTAGCAGCAGCAGAGGGAGGAGGAGGACAGGAGGGACTGAGCTGTTCATCACTCAGTATGTTGATGTCAGGAATATGATTTATTTTACTGACATTTTAGATTTGTTTCCAGTGAGATATTAGTGGCTTTGCTGTTGTAAATCATGTTGCTGCTCTAGAAACAACATTAAGTTAATACAATAAATAATAACCTATATTCAATTATTTAGCATCAATAAAGAGCTGCACCCCCTTTCCCCTTAGAGCAGCAACATTCAACGTGACATACATTATTGTACAGTACTGTTCCAGGAACTATGTACGTTAAGCTCAGTCGCTCCTCAGGGCCAGGACTCGGTTCCAGTTATTTCAGTTTGCTGTTCCGTGTGTCATTTCCTTCAGTCACACCATCCGCTGTAGACTTCCTGTCAGTACATTTCTACAGACAGACTTACACAATTGCATTAGTACACGTCTTGATATATATATATATATATATCTCTAGTTTCAGATTGCATGAGCGAGAATAAATATAAGATAACTTATATACATACTGGTTCCAACACAGGGTTACTTGTGGTTCCAAAAGTAAAATGGGAGCTAGATCCTTCAGCCATCAAGTTCCTCAGTCAGGTCCCAGTCAGGACCCAGTTTGGATTCGGGAGGCAGACACCATCTCCACATTTAGGAGGAGCCTTAAATAAAACTGATAATAAATGCTTTTAAGTTCACTTAATATCCAATTCTCTTCTGTCTTCCAGGAGAACCAGTGGTTCTGGATTGATGGTACACCTTTTAACTACTTGAACTGGTGTGCTGGAGAGCCTAATAATCTGGGCGGCAGGCAGAACTGTTTGCAAATCAATCATGGAGGTAAAACAACATAGTGGTTTGTGTAGAAGTGATGTGAATTATTCCAAGTGATGAAAGCTAATTTTACAATTAAAATTCCAACTTACAGCTCAGATATATAACATACTGTGTCCCTAGTAAGAAATGTCTTTGTGAATCAGATCCATCCATCGTCAACCGCTTATCCTGCGTACAGGGTCGGGTGAAAAGCGGGTTACACACTGGACAGGTCGCCAATCCATCGCTGGGTGTGAATCAGATCATCTTTGTTTATATGAAATCTGTAGGTGGTTAGAATAACAGAATTTGCCACACTGATATTATATTGGTTTGACAGTGACTTGCATGTAATATCAGTGACCATAGTGTTGCTTCACCAAACTGAATCCTTCAAGTTAAGTCGATGGAATCAAACTGCTTTAGTTTCCAGTTTGTGCAACATTCATTTTCTCCCTTTTTTGGTACCTGCAGATCAAAAGTGCTGGGATGACTGACTTTCGAAGACCGTCTGACGATCTGATGATTCCTTTAAGAAGAGCAGACTGAATGTGTTATGAACTTTCTTTTAGAACGTTCTTTCATACAGTATAATCTGTAAAATGATACTTTGTACGAGAATAAAAGGCTCAAGCACTGGAACAAGCCTGTCATAAATCTATTTTACAGCCTGGGGAGATTATATATATGCAGTGAAGTATTCCTTCCCACAATGTCCCTGTCACTGTGTTCTCGGAAATTAAAACTGGAGCTCCTGTTAAACTGATTTAGAACAATTAAAATGTTGAATATTTAATCACACTATTCCTTCCCAGTGTCCCTGTCACTCAGGATAATCCACAGGCCACAGGAAAAGGGGTTTTGGACGTTCAATGAGGAAAACTAGGACAGCACCTGCCACAGGTCACTGGGCCAGGTTACCCGACTAATCATACACATGCAGAGGGGGGTGCCATGGGTGCTTGGACACTTGCCCTTTGATGCCCAAAGTGCCCTTTTATCAGGCCCCTTTGTTCCAGCGACCCGATCCCGGATAAGCGGATTAAGATGGATGGCCCCTTTGTGAAGGTCTGCCCAATCAAACTATTAGTAAAATGAACGAATAATAATTTTGCATTAAATAAAATGACCCATCCTTTCACCTGATGACCTCATCCGTGACGAGCCCTCCCGTTCACACACCATTAGTGATTCAGCAGCTCTGACCACAGGACACCTGCGATTCCGCCGGTAAGAGGGGTTTGCTGCAGTGTGCTCGTTGTAGGTTGTTCAGATCCAATCGGTTGTTGGGTGTATTTTACAAGACAGACAAAAGCGAGCATGCACAGTTGTTGTCAGGACCGGGGGCCAGAAACTCAAACGCAGACTAGAGAAATGCACAGAAGTGGTTTATTGAGCACAAGGGGTGTCCTGGGAGAGGTTGGGGTGAGGTGGTCGTTCTGAGGGTCTGCGGTTCTGGTCCCAGAGCTTAGATGATTCCGGGGCACAGGAGGGAATCTGCGTGGTGCATGTGCAGGTTTCCTGAGGTCGAGACAAAGAGAGAGCAGTTAACACTGGTTTGAAGGTTCAGACAAAATCCTGAAACTAAGACAGACAAACTGGCTGGCGTGTCCATACGGTTAAGTACAACCATCCGGCGGGGACTGGAAGGTTGGCAGATCTCTTAAAGGCATGTCGATTGCAGGCAGAGGCCCTGGTGTGCTGATTGCGGATGTGCTTCAGGTGGGAAAGCCTGGAGCTCAGATTACCACGCCCACCAGCAGCCTCAGGGCAACAGAC